TCAAATTATGCAAGATGAAAATAAATGCAGAACTTTGCAAAGCCATGCAGGGCATTATATTGTATGGCTTGCTTGATTTTGGAAGCTCTTTGTTGGCCTGTAAATTCATGTTTCTTCTGTGGAAAATATTGTCAGAACTAAATCATGTCCTAAAGCAACAGAAAATCCTCAAGATAGGAACCTTCCTTTTCCAAGTCAGAAGCAGTCCTGGTATTTGTGTTTGCTGTTGTAATTTGGCTTCATGTGTACTTTTGCATGCCAGTTTTGCCTATTAGCATTTTGGCCAGCCTTTACTGCCTGGGAGCTAATGGGCATGTCTCCACAGATGGGTGCAAGCAGGCCTCAATTTTTCCATGAGGGAAATACTATTTAATAGTACCTTTTAAAATCATGCAGTAACTTACACCTGGTTTGATGGAAGAAGAGACAGTACTGTCATTATTTAGGACAGAAGCTGCAAATTATCTTGTGATGTACAAGTGCAAAAGAACACTGAAAAAGCCTGAAGCTCCTCTGCTCAGTGGCAGCTGACTGGCTGAAGGCCAGCTCTGGTACAAAAGCTGTATCGCTTCATTAGGGAAGTGTTGCGCCCAAATGAACAAATCCTGCTGAGCACCAGGGCAGAGAGCCACGCCAGTGTGGGTAAAGGGCTTCCAGGACAGGACTGGCTGGTAGCCCTTCTGGTCAGTTCTGGGTGTGAGTTTTGGTCGGTATGCAACCATCCATTAGAATTTTGTAACCAAAAACGCCCTGAACTGACTATTTTAACAAAAGAAATACTAACACTTCCCCTTTCCCCACAAATTCAGGTTTAGTTTCTGAGTGATGCTAAAATGAATGCTGGGAGAAGTTAATCCTTTTGTGCATTCTCATTGTGAATCAGTTAGGAATTCATTGTGCTCCCTTTCATAGCAGGTACACAGAAGCAGTTTTGCAGAGCTTGTATGATTTTGGTGGCAAACAAAGCCATTTTGTTTCTGCTGAGATGTATTTTATGTAAGCTTTAAGTAAATCATATTGCTCAAACATCTTAAAACGTGATTTGGAAAGTTGGAAAGTTTCAGGATGAAACTGGGACAAAAATAAAGCAGTGATATTTCAATAGTACTAGCTGTGCACAAGGGAAAAAACTGTTTTTAAGAGCGAGAAACACCTGGCATTAATGGAAATACATCGAATCTTGATCTCTTAGAGCTTGTTCTGTAACACATGTAAAAGCTTAGCAAGTTATAAAGCAACTTTTTCATTATGTATCTTTTCCTGTAAAGAAAGAAATTCCACAAAACAGCTATTATGTATTCATTGTAACCTCTAACGTCAGTATTTCTTAATGAACGTCCTTGGTTAAAGTGATAAAAATAACTGCTTGTGGAATAAGGAGCTTCAAATCCTCTCCACCAAAAGAAATCACAAAATGATAGAAAATACGTTCAGAATTCAGCTCGGGACGTTGTTCAGCCTGATTTCTTGCCTTTTTTTATAAGAGAGTCCTCTGCAACTTATTGCCAGCTGCAAATTCAGTAAAAAATACCTTGATTCTGTTATCAAAATTACTGCTCAATGTTTTACGTTGATTAGACCAGATGTCTGTGGATTGTCCCTTACTTTAACCTTACAATTTGAAAATTATCCCTGGGTAACCAGAGTGTAGTTTTCCAAGTAGTTTTTACCTACTGTGTTTTCCTTGTTTTGCCCTTTGGGAATTTTATGAAGTCATAAGTCTTGCCGAAGTTGAGATGTGTCATCTACTGAATCTCAGCCTGGGTACAAAAATACTACTACTACAAATTAAAGTACGTAGAAAGTGAATCCCATGTCATATCAGTGAGGTGCTTTTAATTTGTAAATATTTGTAGTAGCAGAGATTGTCAAGGCTCCACAGGTGTCCTGTGCTCACTGTCATGTTTGCAAATGAAGACCTACAGAAGGAGCTATAGCAGTCCTTGCTTTTTGCCATGTCATCCTTGGTGGGACAGCACCTGAGAAGGATTCCATTGGGCTGATTTCTTCAGGCTCTATATTCTTTCTCAGCTGTTCTGATTTTTCTTGCTTAGAGCTTCTCTGACTTGTCCAAATGGAACATTTTTGTTGTTGGCTGTGATGGATTTGAAATGTGAAGGCATTTGAGGAAAAACTTCTTTACTGTGAGGATGACAGAGCACTGGAGTCTCCTTCTCTGGAGACATTCAAAACCCGCCTGGACACGTTCCTGTGTGACCTGGTCTAGGTGATCCTGCTCTGGCAGGGGGGTTGGACTGGATGATCTTTCGAGGTCCCTTCTAACTCCTAATATTCTGTAATTCTGTGAAGCTCCTGTACAGTTTTGAGTGTGGACTTATCCTTATTGAAATGGACATGGAAGGGGATTTCTCTCCAGCACGGTGCTGAATGCTGAGGTGATGCTCAGTCACCTCTTTTTTCCTTTGCAAGGATGGAGAAGGTTCACATGCAGCATTTTATGATGGAGATTCAGAAAATCCTATTTGTCAGAACTGTGGGATTTGAGATGTCTTCCAGGTTAGTCAAGCTAGAATGTGAAACCGAGGGTGTTTTCCAGTAATTTGGAAAAGGCAGAAAATCTGTTACCTGTCGTACCATATGGCTGCAGTTGGATGTCAGAGTAGAAGCTGGGAATGTTCATCTACTGATGGGTTGATTATTCACATGGCACAAATGTGTATTTATACCCAAGATAGCAGGTTTACACTTGGCACCACTTTTCAGCCTGGGAGAGATACCCCTTCCTGCCAAGTTGTTATGAGGAAAAAGCAAGGCAAGAGACACCACGTATTTTTCTGAAGTGTGAAAAGTTCTAAGCCTATTGAAGTGTGATGTGGGCTGAAAACCGTGGAGAGTTCTCTAATGTAGTAGTTTCAGAAATAAGGTGTGTGGCTCTAATTACTGACATGTATGAAATGTTAGAGTGCTGTTTACATAAGAAAATTTAAATCTGATAGTGGTGTTGCTACATAGTTGTTTTCTGGTTTTTACTCATGCTTGCCTTGAATTAATCCAGTCCTTTTGTCTTAAATTTTATCTGTGCGTTTAAAACATGTTGACACTTGAAGTGTTGAATTAAAACTTTCCATGTGCTTTTTTTTTTAATGATGATGAAATGGCTGTACCACTCCCTTTTTTTACAACCACTAAACTGTCTCATTTTCAGTTCTTTTTGAATTTCTTTGCCTTTATTATGCCTGCAGAAGATACTCAATGGTCTAATCCAGAAATTTGAACTAAGCTGTGGTAGAAGACAACCTATAAATCACCTGTCCCTTAATCATTCTCTCTCTATACATCACTCCTAGATAATACATTTTATGACATTAAAGCTTGCAGTGCTTCTAAATTTTCTGTTTGTTGCCTTGCATATAGCGTTGCATATAATAGCTTGGAAAGTGGATGGATTGTGAGCTTCCAAAATATTGCAAAGTACCTTTCCAAACTGCTGGAGAATTTTTGAGAGGGGATAATATTTTTCATTTTTTTCAGTAAACTTTTTAATTTCCAAGAAAAGCAGTTCAGCCTACAGATATATTGGTCAAGGGAAGGACCTTGATAGAATTTATTGGTGAACTTTGAAATAATTTGAACGTGTTTCTAGAATTGCAACAGCTTCAGAAAATTATCTTCTTCAGTTAATGGAAGACTTCAAATGCTCTTTTACTCATGGCTGGGCAAAACAGAAAGATGACTCAGATGCATGTAGGTTTTAGCAGGAGTCTGTCTGTTCTGTGTCTAATGAATGCTGCTAAGAAGTCTGCTGCTTATGGAAAAGGAAACGTTAGTGAGATGATGGAGGGCTGGCACTCAACATAGATAGTACCTGTTGTGGAAATTAGGCAGGGGAAGCTGTAATGAGGTTGGAGTAACAGGACCTGGTTATTCAGTTGCTCAGAGTTGCTGAATGTCTGTGGATTCAAGTGATGGCATCGACATTGGTCTCTCCACTGAAATGCTGGAAACAGCATTAATCATAACGCAAATTAAAATTGTCATGTGGATGTGCCATCTGAATTTTAAATCTGCTCTGTGGTAAGTTAAACATGTAATTGGGCTGGTCTTAACTCTGCTGTCACAGGTTCTTGGTCAAGTAGTTCACTCATGTAGGCAGAATAAGCAAGGATAAAATCAAAGAACATTAATGACTATCAGCTTATAGGAAGAAACTGTTCTCCTTAGACTGGAGCAGTGCTGGCTACTCTGAACAGATGGAGAAGCCCTCTCAGCAAAAAAATCTTCAGAATTTAGCAGTGTTGTCAAATGTGGTTTTGTGGCAGAGCTTTCCAATGTTTTCTGTGGTGGGGCAGAAATAGGTTTGAAAACTGTTGCAAACTTTTTCTGTTAAGAGATATGTTATTGATTTTTTTTTTAATTTGCATATCCACATTCTCTTGCATTCTTTGATCAATTTTCCTCCTAGTAACAATCTTTTCTTGATGAATTATTTTTTCTGATTTTTCCCTGGTGACTTTTGAAGTTTTTTAGTAGCTTTCCTGTAAAGATCTTTCTCCTGTTTCATTCATGAAAGGGCTTTTTTTTTTTGGTGGCATGGGGTTTTTTTTAATTTTTCTTTTCTCCAAGCATGGTTTTGTATCTGTGTCTAAACCAGTCTTCATTTATAACATGATTTATTTTTCATTCTTTCATTTGTTCTTTTGGAATGAGGACAGAAACATAGGTCTTGTTCATCTTTGCTTTACAAATGTTTGTATTTAATTTGAGTAATTTTGCAGAAAAGTTGTGCATGTCTTTTTGGGAATGGAGGGCTGGAGGGGAGATTGGGATTTGAAAGCACTAGGCAAGGCTCTGGCAGAGATTGCTGTGAATTTTGCACTGGTAATTATTTCTGAACTTTCTGAACTGCTTCAAAACATGATCACGTTACCATGTGCGTCATTGTGAGAGACAGAGAAATGTGTTTTTTCTGAATTCTTATATCTCAGAAAATTGTTCTGGTATTGCGTAATTGCCATTGTTCTTTTGCATGTTTTTCATAGCATCCTCCTGGGCAGTTAAGAAGGAAGTACAGTTCCTGCTCCACTATTTTCCTGGATGACAGCACAGTCAGTCAACCAAACCTCAAGTATACCATCAAATGGTGGGTTTTGTAATTTATTTTTTTTTCCTGGAACCTACATTATGTATATGCATATAAATGCACAAAGTTCTGAGTCATTACTAAGCAAGCTTCACAGGTCTTGGGATGAGCAAAACAGGTCTTACTCTGATTTTGGGTCTGTGCAGAATCAAACTCCCAATACTGGATATCTCACCAGAAAGCAGCAAATAAGGACCTCACGTTCTGGCAGCTGAAATCCTTGTGCTGGGTGCTTGCTTCTCAAAATTTGCTTGGATACTTGTTTATCCAGAATTTAGGAATTGTATGAAATATCCTGAAATCAAAGAGCTCTTTTCTGTTAGTGAGAAAATGCTCATTTGCTAAGCTTCTCTTACAGTTTTCTTTTTGTAATGGAAATTAATTGCCTCCAGATTGAGTACCAGGGCTCTGGAAGTTTTGTCGCACAGATTTGGGGAGCTTTGTTTGTGGCGTGCACATGGGCTTACCCTTGGGTGACATCTCAGATGTTAATTTCAGGTTTCACTGCTGCCTTTTTACCCTCGGAGAGAAATGAAAATTTTATTTATAGTGTATTGTTCTTTACATTTTGTACTGTAAGGGGGGAAAATGAGAGAACAAATGCTTGGGCATTTTATGCTGTTTGCTTATTATGGTTGCTGATGTACTCTCTTGAGTTGTTTGTAGGACACCTTGGTGTACTTAAGTGCAAAAGTTTGTTAAGACAAAGTCTGTGCTACAAAGACTGAGAGATGCATGAGGGACAAATATATTCAAACTAACACATCCAAAGGAGTTTGTACTGTTGGTGGTCAGTAAAACATGTCCTTAATGTCTAGTATTAAGAAAAAGAGAGGAGTGGAGAAGTGATTTGCAGTCAGACTGATACCTAATTTCTTATCAGCTGTTTCTGCCTGAAATACAGTCTTGATTTTCCTCAAGTTTTCTTAATTAGTAACTTAAGAATAATTCAGATGAACTCTGGAAAAATGTTTTTAAGGGGGTTTTTTGCCTCTTGGAATGTAATGCTCTTCAGCTCTAAAATCCTTTGCAGTCAGATTTCTTTAAGTGCAGCCTTTGGTGGGGGGGTTTCAGGTCCCTTTTTGTGTCAGACCTGAGACTTTTTGGAGAGAAGAGGTGGGTTCAGTTGGACACAGCAACCGAGAAGCCATTTTAGCTGGCCATGGGGGATGGCAGCAACCCTGTGAAAGGGGAGGCAGAAAGACAAGCTGCGGGGGTAAGCAAGGTGGTGACATTTGGGAGAGGCTCAGGGTGCAAGCAGAGCTGTAGGGAGGAGAGGCGTACGTTAGGCTGGAGAAGCCGGCACTGGGCCAGGGTGGGGAACTGTGCAGGGCTGGGACTGGTGTGGAAAGGGTTGGAAGCTGTCAGGGGTCAGAGGGTTTGAAAAGGGGTTACATGGGGTGAGAAACCGGACTCTGGCATGTGAGGCCTCTGGTTGAGGAGTCTGTTTGCTCTCCTCTCCTGTCTGGCTGCACATTTAACAGATTTAAGGGTGGGGATTGCAGGATTATTGCTTTTGTTGTACAACTTTGTTTCTTCCCTGACCCTGGCAGTCTCTGCAGGTAAATGAATATTGTACGTAGGTAAATTTGAGGGATGTATTTCGGCCAGCTCATTTGTTTTTTGGGGGTCATGTTATGCACCGGTGTGTTTAAAATAATAGTGCATCTACTGAAGATCTGCAGTGTTGGTGGGGTGGCAGGATCAGGTTTTGGGAAGCTTCATAAGCTGCTTTTCTTCACATTGAGAGCTGTCTGAACCAGCATATGAAAAACAGAATGAAACTTGGATCTGAGTTAATCTGCTACAGCTCTGAAGACTTTCAGATTCAAAATAGTAAATATTTTCTAAACTTAATTTGACATTTTTTTGCAAAAGCAACCATATGGACACCAAGCAGAGCTCTGCACGTAGATTCTTGCGTCTGCTTTCATAAAGTGAACTGGAGCTGTAAGTGTGTTCCTAGGGGCATAATTTAAAATTAAATTTCAGAACCAAGTCATTTTGTGAATAGCTTTCAGTCAATCAAATTCATTCATACATGTGTTTTTTGTGTTAAGTGAGGACTGCATCCTTTAAATGTCCTCAGTACACAGTATCTCTTAATTCCTTAGGTATCTATAGAAAAATTTAAAAACATCTGTAATCTAAAAACCAATAATGCACCCAGGTAAAAACTATAATGCTCATACAAAGTTGCTAAAATATATTTACTTTCAACTAAGAAAAAATATTTACTACTATGGAGCTGTTAAAAAAAAACCCAACAAACAAACCAACAAAAAGCCAAAACCAAACAAAAAAAGCCAATCCTGAAATACTTTAAAATTCTAATAATTCTGATAGCTCCAACATACTGTTTTCCTAACATGCAGTATGTCAATTTTCATGTAAAATTTCTGGAATAGTATTACAGAGCAGCCGAAGCAACCAATTGACTCTTTGAAAAGGCCTTTTGTGGAGAAGAAAATGAGGGGAATTTTGTGTCAATGTAAGACAGAAGCATCTTACAGTGAATCACTGACAAAACAAATTGACAACAAATAGAATTGGTGAACTCCATCCTCCTTCCCCTTCAGTTCTGACTGGGTTTTATGCTGCTGGAACAAGTAGAGGGAGGATGCTGGTTCTGCTTTTATCCTTTACTAAAGCTCCATCTCATAGAGACGTGTCCTTTGATAATGCTGGAGTTGTGGGCTGGAAACTGGAGAGTAACCAGAAGAAGCCATGTCTTAATTTTCTTCATTTTCAAATGTGGATGAGATCAGTAAGTTGTGTACATAATTAAAATCTTCGCTTTCTGTGAATATAAGGAGAGTTTTTGTCTTTGCTCAGAATATGAACTTGAGTGTGTGGTTGAGAACATGGAAAATGTGTAACGCTCTAAGTTATTCAGGGAATTGTCTTTCCTGAGTTAAAATAAGTAGCTTGATGCCATAAAACTGTAGGAGCCTGGTTTTTGAGTCTGATATGTGAGTAGCTACATAGAAAGTCAGCCAAAAGTTAATGGATTTAAACATAAAGTCATAAGCTAATGGTGATTAGAACATTTCATGTTAGCCTGGCAACATTAGCAAACAGTAAAAGAGACTGTCCAATGTCTGTGTTGCCTTATCTGCAACCTTGGAAGTCAACAGGAGTTTTTTAGCATTGATTTTAGTAGAGTAGGGCATTAAATGCAAGGTATGTGCCACTTGGTATGTGGAATATGAGTATTTTTGTAAAGTACTTCATTATTAGTAAAGAAGAGGCACTCGGAGTGTGCTGAACAAATACTATAAAATTGTCTATATTTACAGCAGTTTTCCTGGTATCTAAGAGTGAACAGAAGAAAATAGGCTGTTGAACATACTTTTTGTCATGCATTGTGCTAGGTTTTAAATTTGCATGTTAATATGACAAATAACATAATTTAACAGTTTTGAGATACTAACTCTGTATTTTTCTTTACAGTGTAGCTCTTGCAATATATTACCACATCAAAAACAGGTATGTGACTAATGAAATCTTGTACTGAAAAATATCTTTAATCTAAACAAATGAACTGCTCGAACCCTAAAAATCCATGATGTGTTTCCTTTCTAAATGTTTTTGGGTAGTAGTTTTATTCTTTTCCATGTTAGAAATGCAAAATGTGGTTTTTTTTTATATTTTTAATAGATCTTATTTTGTTTAGAAAAATAAAAATTAAAGGATTACAAACCATAAAAATGTGGAAGTACAGTTGAGCATTGAAAAACTTTGATGATTCAGTGTTTGGTTTTACGTGCACTGGACACTTCTGCATTGTTGCATATGTTGCAAATTGCATGTAGAGAAAACTGAATAGTGTATTTCAGATTTATTTTTTTGGCTACACCTTTGTAAAGTAAACTGGGTAAATCAATGATCTGTTAATGTTAATGGATTTTTTTAAATAAAACCCATTAATTATATAGTAAGAGTGTCGTTGTGAATAGATGTAATTCAAGATGCCTCAGAAAGAGCAGGTCCTGGCTTATCTCTTCTGGTGTAGCATGTTTTAGATCTCTGCTCAGTCAAGTTGAAATTGAATAGAAAATAGGTTCTCTAAAAAGTAACTTGGTACATAAATTAGCTTTCCTCATGTTGAATTGCGCTTTTGTATCTTAAATTCCTTGTCCTCATGATATGTCACAGTATCACAAAATAATATTTCCTGACGTTTCTAAGGCCAGATTGTATAAATACTTTAAGTGGCATTTGTGTCCATGGCTTTTCAATGTGTCTTTTCAGAGAACTTGGCTTAGATCTCAGTCTGACAAGCCACTTACGCGTTATTTCTTCTGGACTGTAAGAAGTCTGACTAGAACAAAAGGAATTACTCATAAGTTTAAAGTTAAGCTGGTTCGTCATTCGGGACCATGTTTCAGGTCACTGGAGCCTGTCTCACTTCTTGAAACAAGACTGACATCTAAAGAGAAACCTTTAGAAGTGCAGAAGGGCAGAAAGGCTTAAGGCTTGATCCCTGCTGAAAGCTTTTAGAAGATTTTCCAAGACTTCAGTGGGCCTTGGGCTGAAACATGGCAATATGTAAAGCAAAAGTTGGAGTAAAATCTTTTCCCAAACTTTTAATCTCATTTCCCAGGAAATGAGGCGTTACTGATGATGCTTGGATTACTTGTTGATCCATCTGTGGTTCCCTTTTTCCCCTTTCCCTGGGTTAGTTTGGCTAACTAGTCAATTTTTACTATGCCTGACTAAATAACAGATATCTCAAAGAGAATCAGACTCTAAAGTTTTGTGGAAATAAGTTATTCTTAAGCGCTCTGTTACCTATCATGCCAGCTGAGTGAAAGGCTCAGGAGAAAGAGGCACATAAGGGAATGCAAAGGGTGAGAAACTTCAGGAAGAGCTCACAGTGGAGCAGGATGAATCCTGAGCCAAAGTACGCCAGACTTAATTTGCGCAGATTGCCATGGAGCTGATTTCTGTCTGCAGTAAAATATGCCTATTCGTGGTCTTACAGAACTTGTTACAAATTTGACCTACAAGTAGTAAACAGAGAGGCTAAACCATTATAAAATAAAGACTCCCATGTCGTTGTGTTTAATACTTTCTGAAAGTTATCTTCTTGGGGAAACTTGCTATCTGTCCTGCCGCTTTTGGGATGGAGAGGTGATTTGTTCAGGAAGAACTGGTGGCTGCTGCTCCCTCCTGAAGCTGGCTGGGGTGGGGAGATGTGCTGTAAATGTACCCTCTGCTGCACTCAGGACAGATGGTGTTGGCAGTGATGCTGTAGCAGGCTCGTGTACATCAATTAGCAACTCTGAAATGAAGGATGTGAAATGACTGTTCTGTCTTCAGTTGCCTCTGATTTAGGAACGGAGGGACAACGTGATAACAGCATTCAGTTTTTCTTGCTGCTGAAACAACAGTAACAAAACATATGTTCTGCTTCCTGCCATTATAGGCAAAAAGGAAGTTGTTGACGTATGTGGTAGATTTCGTTTCATTACAGAGGGTGTGGACTATGAAACCACTGTAACTCTTATATAGACTCAAGGTTGATTTTGACAGAAAACAACTCAAGCACCTGCTTTGCCAGAGAAGAATTCTTTTCACACAATATTTCTTTGTTCCTTTTCTCCTGCACAGTAGACTTAAAACTAAATTACATTGTAATACTCCAAACTCTCACCAATCCCTGCTTTTTTGAGAAACTATACATGAAGTGGAATAGTCATTTCATTTCATTTGGCTATAACATTCTAGTTATCATTCCTTCTTTTCCCAGTGTCTCCTGTCATTGTTATATTGATTGGTTTTCTGCAGCTTTTGTTGTGCTTAGCTATTCAACAAGTGGTAAAAGACTCTACACCTATCTTGTTTTTGGAGAAATGCGTAAGTATTGGTGAATCTGCTAAATAAGCAAATAAAATAAAGTAAACCCCAATAGACTAACCACAAAAAAATGCTTTGATCAATTAGTAGGTGGTTCATTTTTGAAAGAAAACAATGTGAATTTCTTCTAATGAAGATGAAAACCTAGCAACTCTTTTTTTTTGCGTGAGTGATAGATTGTTTGAGGGCAATCAAGTGTACCTTTGTAGCATGCAGCAGCTACAGCATGAAAAAATAAAATAGGAAATTCTTTCTTTCTCTCCCCTCATTGTGAAGGGCCACAGTTTACTATAGCACATCAATGATTCCAGTGAGACTACTTCTGCATTAAGATAGTAGCCTTTTTATGTAGGGGTAAAAGTGTCTCGCCTAAAATCCTGGCTGATTAGGAATTTTTCAGTAATTATCTCAATCTGGTTTTTTTGTTTTAATTAAGGTACTCCTTACTCTTTTTCTTTTTTTGAAAAAAAGTTTTATTTTCAGTGTTGGCAGGCTTTGTAGCAGAAAAAAAATGTCATCTTCTGATGTTGAGGTTTAAATGTTAGGTGCTAATAAGTACGTTTTGTAGACATGAATCCACTGTAAAACTCGTGTTTGCATGCTCTGAGAGACACGTGCTGTTCCGTGGTTTCCTCTCTTAAGGACTCTATGACCACAGTACCAGGGATGCTATGAATAAAGAAGGGATTGTAATAAGTAGGTCACATGGATGCATCTGTCCAGAAAGGGTCCAGTTCTCACTGGTACTGTTATACCACTCGCTTTTGTGATTGTTACTGTTACTGCCAGGATTACACACAGCAAAAATCCTATATTGCATACTGGATGTTAGGCTTGTGAAGTTGCATCAACTTGCATGGTGATCTTGAGCAACAGGGATCTAATAGAAACAGCATGTAAAGCTAATGAATAGGAATATTATTTTGTCTGAATTTTTTTGTGTGTACTTCTTTTTGCTTTCGGAAATCATGAGCAAGGTAGAGTTTTCTAAATACATAAAAAGGGAAGTATGTATGTATTAGCTTAAGGATAACTGTAGAAGCAGTGTTGCATATTTGTAAATGTTCACAATGTTGACGGTAGAAGAGGAGGAAGAATTAAGAAATTGCAAGGATTGACATGGTGAAGTTAAGAATGGGAGAGTAAGCTGGGCTAATTTTGTTATGAATTTATAGTTGTACCTCTTAGGGTGTGAAAAAGCCTCATAGTAGAGAGCACAAGAGCTGTGTGGCTTGGGCTTTGAAAGCTGAAAATTTTAGCATACTTTGTAATACGGGTTTCATATTACACGTGAACCTTACGGCACAATAAAGCCATCATCTATTTGAAAATCACATTTCTGCAGTGTTTCTAAGCACCCTGCAACATGAGGAGTATTGGAGTTTTGACGATGCACTTCTGTCTGAGAGCTGCCTGCTGTCATGTTCAGATAATGACACTACTTTGGTTTTAATACTTTTTAGGGACACAGACGGAAGAATGCTCTTAGATATTTTTGATGAAAATCTTCATCCCCTTTCGGTAAGTTCATCTGCCTCTTCTTCCCTTTCATGTGAACTGTCTTCCTTTCTGTCTGCTTCATTTTGTTTCAGTCACCTATTTGGAAGTATTTCTTCCTTAGAAATCCGAAGTGCCACCAGACTATGACAAACATGACCCGGAGCAGAAACAGATTTACCGCTTTGTTCGGACGTTGTTCAGTGCTGCTCAACTGACTGCTGAATGTGCCATTGTCACCCTGGTGAGTGTCTGAGAGATGACATCAACCCTCTGACAGACTCCGTTTGTTCCCAAAGCTTGGCTTTGTATGATTTAATAGATCTAGGTGTTGCCAGGGAGTTTTTTCTCACCATGGAGGCCAAGGGATTTCTGGATGGGAAGAGACACTACAGTTCATTTCCCTGGGGAGAGTTAGTGATGGAAGAAAAGATTGGGTAACATGCGATGCAAAAGCTGAGGTTATGTCTTGCCCTGGAAGAGTGATAATGTTACAGGCCACCAAAGTGGCTAATAGAAAACACAGGTGGCATAAGTGGTCTGAACAGGAGGGAACATTAAAAGCAGAAAGGCTTCCACTTTTGGGGCCTTTGCTGTTTGTCATTGTAGCTCCCAGCAGAGACTTGGGAACAGCTGTAGGTAATTTAATAGCACTAAAAAGAGTTGATGGGCACATGAAGGATTTGGTGAGTGACTGGAACATGTTGCTGATGGCTCTTTTTTACTTGCACTGTTCTGGTCTTTCAGTACCATAGGAGTGAACAATTATACTCAAGGCTGAAGTTTAGCTACTTAAAAATAGCACGGCACAAAAGAAGTTTCAGATTTTCAGCTGGTGTGGATCAGCATAGCAATGTGGATTAAAGGAGCTAAAGTGATCTCTACCAGCTGAGAATTTTTCAATTTTCCTGAATTTTTTATCCTGCCAACTCTGACAAGCCATTTCAGCTTTCAGGCACGATTTTGGCCATGTTCTTGACTCAGAGATATTTAAAAGAACAAAATGTTTTTTACCACTACAACATGTGGTTTCATAACAGCTTTGTTATGCACTTGAGATGGAAGAAGGGGAAATTGGAGAAGGTGGATTTTGAAGCCCAGGCCTACTCATTTCCTCTGTTAATCTCTCTCCCTTGGCTTCTAAGATTAGTTGGCAGGCTTTTCTTCTTCAGTCAGTCAGAATGAATTGTACTACCCAATGCAGAACAGGAATATGAGAGAAATAGGACAAGAAACACCCTGCAGTGCTCCACCCTTACATTTTGAAATACTACTCTACCGAGTTACTTGACCCAGCCGTTACTTGTTTTCTGAAATGACATTTTGTCTGTCTCCTTTGCATAATTGCACTAAGTACTTGTCCTTCTTCCTTTTCTTCTTAAGTGTTTTCTGCTGAAGGCAAGATATGTTGTATGAATCAGTATGTTCTTGTGTAATTTAATTAATCTACTGTCAAGTACAGTGTAACCTTGTTGTAGTTATCTGTTGTTTGATCTTAAGTTATTTGATCAATGAAGGCACTGCTTAGTAGAAAGGAAGAGGGCTTTCTTTAATAACAATATCTTCCTGTTATTGCAATGCATATGAAGGGAAAGTTCTTCCCCACAAACCTTGTTAACTCATGCATATATTTCAGTATCTTTCATTTGTAACGGCCTCTTCTGGTTCTCATGTGGTTTCCCTA